CCAAAATGGAAGGAAATCGTATCCAATCCAAACCCCTCTTATTGAAATCGTACTCTGTCTGGACGAAAGCGCATCGCCCGCCTATCAGGGGCCGGCCTCCGGCGCCTTTTCCGCAGCCCTTGCCCCGGCCGAAGCCAGATGTCATCCAAAGCCTCTTTCATGGGCTCGTTTTCTTGAGATTCCTTTGAGGGTTCCTGCTCTGGGGTCTATAGGGGCTTGGGGTTTATAGTGGTTTATAGGGGCTTGGAGTTTATAGCTTATAGGGGGTCTAAAAATGGCTTTATAAGGATTGCGGTTGTAAGGGCCTTCTAAGGTTTATAAGGTGCAGGGTTCAGGATTGCAGCCTGCAGAGGCTTTCTTTAAGACTTCTACATAAGAGTAGAAGCGGTGAGTTAGAAACCCGAAACAACACTAAGTACAGACTTTATGTTATTCCACCAAGCCCCATAAGCCTTCACGCAATAAACCCTGAGGGAATATATAACCCTGAAGTGCAAAGCCCTATAGAGGTCTTGCAGGGTTATGGTACCCGAAACTTATAATCACTGTGAGGCTGTGGGCCCTCGTCTTGCAAAGCTTCTTCGGGAGAGATCTGCAGAGAGTGACGACCCCGCCGAGTTGGCGGATCTTGTGCGGAAGGCACTTCCCTCGGCCGTCGACGAGGGTGCGGAGGTGGCTGGGGATGGAGAATCCGTGGGTGCAGCCTCGGGTGGTGAGGACAACACTGTCCGGTATGAAGCCTCTAGTGATGAGGAGAACCCTGTGGATGAAGCCCCTATCGAGGAGTTCAACCCAGTTGTGGATGAAGCCGCTAGCGATCAGGAGTTCAACCCAGTTGTGGACGAAGCACCTAGTGATCAGGAGTCCAACCCTGTTGTGGACGAAGCCCCTAGTGATCGGGAGTTCAAGCCTGTTGTGGACGAAGCCCCTTGCGATCGGGAGTTCAACACTGTTGTGGACGAAGTCCCTTGCGATCGGGAGTCGGGCGATCACTGGGAAGCCACGGCCGACGAGGCCACGGGCGAGGATGCGGGCAGGGCCGCAGCCGTGGATGGCGACATGCTCGCAGGTGCCGATGCAGATGATCTTGCCCGGCAGCTACTGGTGGCGGAGTTGAAGCTTGAGGCCATGCGCTTGCGACTGTGACGTCGGACAAGTACGGTTGTTTGAATATTTGGTAGTCGTAGAAAGCAAACCACACTTGCATCATGCATGACAAGTGCATTTGTAATAAGGATGGCCATGGAGCGAAAGTACAATGTACCACAGCTGCAGCTGCAGGTGGATGCTGAAGGACTGCATATGAGTGCTCAATTCGACGTATGAGCGACTGTCTAAACTTCACGTTAGCATCCTTCCGCCCAGGTAGGCCCGCAGACTAATCTTATGTTCGGAGAGAAGCGCCTGTAGCTCATAATGTCAGGAATTGTAAATACTTTTCTCGCTTGATTGCTGCCGACGAGTGTCAGGACCTATCAGTGTTTCTGATGAGGAGGGATCTGCTATCCCAGATCTCCCGGCACCCACGACTACCAGTACAGGCCTCGATGCAGTGGAAACCCAGGCTTATACGGTTGACACGCAACTGGTGCAGGAGGTTCTTGGAGGGCTTGATCAGGAAGTGCCATCCCCAGGCCTGCCATTGGCTTCGGCGAGACTTCCGAGCACACTTGTGCTGCCTGGACACGTCGACTCGCCCGATCCCAAAGAAACGGCCGCAAGTGTGGATCCGAGCAAGGAAGCTGTGGTGACACCCAGCCCGAAAAACCTTCCTTTTCCTGAGATCTCCCCTGTGAAGACTTGCGTCACCCGGGAGGGCCAGCTGAGTTCGAAAGGCGACAAGGTGGCCTCGGAAGGGCGAGGACGAGGACGAGGACGAGGACGAGGACGAGGACGAGGGATTAAGGCGGGTGGCCCGGAGAAGGATCCGGAACCTGTGCCCGAGATCTCTAAGGCAAAGGCTGGATGCCCCAAGAAGACCGTCCAGAAGACGCCCGAGGAGACCGAGAAGTTGGAGGTGGCTCAGATCGCCACCAAGAGTGGTGGAAAGAAGCTCAAGAAGCTGCGCCGAAAGGGGCACAAGAAGGCCAAGACTGGTGACCTCAGCGACATTCCCGCCGACGAGAAGCCCGCCAAGAACAAGCCGAAGGCCCTTAAGATCCATGACCCCACGGACGTTCCGGCCGTTGAGAACGACATCCCGAAAGGTAAGAAGAAGGCCAAGATTGGTGACCCGACGGACATCCCCAAAAGGAAGAAGGCGAAGATTGGTGACCCAACCGACGTTCCGGCCGTCGAAAAGGACATCCCCAAGGGCAAGAAGGGCAAGATTGGTGACCCAACCGACGTTCCGGCCGTCAACAAGGACATCCCCAAGGGCAAGAAGGGCAAGATCGGTGACCCGACCGACGACGTTCCGGCCGTCAAGAAGGACATCCCCAAGGGCAAGAAGGGCAAGATTGGTGACCCGACCGACGACGTTCCGGCCGTCAAGAAGGACATCCCCAAGGGTAAGAAGGCCAAGATTGGTGCCCCAACCGACGTTCCGGCCGAGTCTGCACCGCCAGCGACACGCTGCAGGGGAAAGTGCGCGGTTGCGCAGCCCATTCAGAAGAAGCGGGCCGCTTCCGCCCCGCCCGGGTTGCACATTCGCTCAGCGAGGCCTACGGAGGAGGAGTGGCCAAAGGTTTTCGCCCGACGCTACCGCCCCTCTAAGGACTCTTGGATGCAGCGCTTGTGGGACGGATGTGTCCGGGCCTTCAACAGCATCATTGCGCCCGAGATGAGAGCGGGTCAAAAGTGCAAGTTGGAGGCCTGTATTTTCCACTACTAGGACACGGAGGGTTGATGGGGCTCCCTTATAATCCCCCTGAAAACCAAAAAGGGCACCGATCGATCCTACGTAAACAGAGTTTTATAACCCCTGATAAATATATTCCCTGGCCCTTCTCAGTTCATCTTCTTCGACTACGCAAAGGACTACTCGAGCCGGCACGATGAATCCTATAGCCGTGCGGCCACGTACAGAAGCTGCACAATGGCCGCCAAAGACTTTGTCGAGACACAGCTTCCATCGCAAAGCGATGATATTTGAAAGCATGCTCCCCGAACTTGTGATCGGTTTATCAAGACTGCAGACATACCGATAGAAGCCCGGGCTAGTTTATATCCCTGCTTGCCTGACCATGGCACGGATGACGGGGAACGTCCATCCTTTGATGTGTGCAGAAGCTAGCGCAACATGCTGTTGGGGCAGTGAGCTCGGATCTCGCTGATGGGTCTGCATGGAGCTGCTAGTCTAGTCTTCACGCATTGCTAGTAGGATGGTTCCGTGCTACTGAGTGGCATTGAATCTGAAGTGTGCTTTTCCGCTTTCAGAAATTCGCAACAGCCTATCATTACGGCTGCTTATGTGCAGACCCCGAGGCTCCGAATGCAACTGAAGCTTTGCTAAACATCTGTAACCGCTTCAGAAATCCCTTCAAATCACAGGCACACGTTTCCCTTGTAGTGGAGACATTATCAACTTCCCGGCCCATCTGCTGAATAACAAACTAATTCCGGTATAAGCCCTCAACCGCTTGTGTGTTCTAAACGAAGGCATCCCTAAGTGCTGTCGCCTTAATGTCTAAACGGGGCCTCGGTGTGCCGACTTCTGCGTATCGCTGAATCCGTGGCACTATAGTCACTAGAGAGGGGCAACGAATCACAAGTAGCTGTGCGCCAGTTTCATTGGCAACGGCAACCAATGGCTTGCATTCATCATGGCTGCTTGTGTGTGAAAGGTCTGATATTGCCAATCTAGGGATTTTGGGCTTATAGGGATTTGGAGGTTGAGGTGTCCATAGGAGTTCAAGGATTTGGTTTTGGGATATATATAGGGTTTCATTTAAAAATAAGATGTGTATACAGAGGTTTGGGTTGGGGTGGAGGGGCTTCGGGTCAAGCTGCAATCCCAGCCCAACCGATCCTTCAACTGCAATGGTCAAGTCTCAGCCTAACCCCGCCAGCCCAAACCCCAAACCCTGCCCCACAACCATAACCTCAAAACCCTAATCCCTCCTATATATACACAGTATTAAGACCCCAAACCTCGAACTTTTATAAACCTTGTAAACCCCTCATAGCACCCTTCATGGAACCCAACTGAAAATGACCCTGAACACCTATACCCAAGGCCCGACTCACTTTCCCTATAGGAGCATTTAAATGCACTATATTCGCTCCGTCAGACGTCTTCCACTTTGAGGCTTTGGGCTGGTGCAGGGTTATATACAAAGCTACATTTAAGGTTATACGTGATATCCTTATATACATATCCCTCTGCAACATATAGTCGTTCCAGAAACACCCATAGCCCCCTCAAACCATGGGGGGGGGGGGCG